CGGCTCCACCCCCTGGGCCTGGACCTGCCTCCTGGACCCGCCCCGCCCCCTGGCTGCAGCGGCAACCCCTGGAGCCAGCCACGCACCGTGAACACTGACTCTGGCGCGGGTCTCCTCGGAGCCGACGCTGCAAGTGTAGAGGCCGGTGTCGTCCCGACTCAGGTCATGCACCACAAGCCCGCGCGTGCCCGCCATGTGCAAGAAGTCGTACTTGTCGCTGGGGCCCAGTTCCACGCTGTCTTTCCGCCACACCACGCGGGCCTGGGGGTCGGAGACCTCGCACTGCAGGGCCAGCGTGCCCCGCTCCTCCACGGACACATCATCGAGAGCCTTCAGGAACACCACTGGCTTTGCTGGGTTGGGGGTGGGGACAGGTGAGCGAGTGCCACCTCGGGCCAGCAGAGAGCCCGGCGCCCCTTCCTGGGAGGACCCTAAGGGCCCGCAGGGACGCCTCACCTTTGACCTCCAGGCGGGCAGTGGCCGACACCTTGGGGGAGCAGGCGCGCACAGTGCCTGCGTCAGCCCGCCGGACCCGCTTCAGCACCAGCGTGTGGCGCCGGCCCTCGTGGGTGATCTCATGGAAGCTGTCGTTGTACAGAGGCCTGCCGTTGAGCGACCACTCCAGCTCCTCGTCCTCACGGGACAGCTCACAGAAGAAAGAGGCTCGGCTCTCCTCCGTGACTTCTGTGTCCTGCAACGGCTGCGTCACGGTCACCTCGCGCGCTGCCAGGGGCACGGCGGGCCGCTCAGCGCCGGTCCCGGGCGTCCCCCGCCCCCAGCGACCCTCCCAGGGCCCCGTGTGCCCGCGCGCGCTGACGGGCACGGCGGGCCGCTCAGCGCCGGTCCCGGGCGTCCCCCGCCCCCAGCGACCCTCCCAGGGCCCCGTGAGCCCGCGCGCACTGCCAAGGGCACAGTGGGCCACTAAGCCTCCAAGATCCTTCCAGGGCCTCAGGCGCCCTCGGTACCTTCCACGGTGACCTCCGTGCTGCTCTGGGCGCTGCCGGCTTGGCACCGGTAGACGCCGGCGTCCGCGGGTGTGAGGCGGAGGATTCGCAGCTCTGCCATGTGGCCCTCCAGGCTCATCTTGAACTTCTCAGAGGGTGCCAGGGGAGCGTCCTCCTTGTACCACTGCACGGCCTTGGGGGGCGGCTTGAAGTCGCAGGACAGGACCACCGACTGCTGCTCGCGCCCCGCCTTGGGCTCCAGCGGCCGCGTGAGCACCATCGGGATGTCTGTGGCAGAAGGGGAGAGGGCGGTGCCGTGGCCTCCGGGGGACCACGGGTTCTACCCCAGCCCTGAGCCCGGTCCGTGCGCCGCCCACCCACGCCGCGCGCTCACCTGAGACCACTAGGCGCGCGGTGGAGCGCGACTTGCCGATGGTGAAGTGCACGGGCCCGGTCATGGTGGAGCAGGTGCGCCGCAGCGTCAGCCGATGCACTGTGCCCTCCTGCTCCATGCCCACGTCCGCCCCCGCCTGCAGCGCCGTCTTTCCCAGGAGCCACTTGGGCGGCCGCACCGCCGGAATGGAGGTCTCGCACTCGAACCAGGCTGGGGCAGGCTCCATCACGGTCACGTCCTGCAGGCCGCGCACGATGGTGATGGATTGCTCTGTGGGTGAGGGACGGGTCACCGGCGCGGTCCGGCAGAGAGGACCACTCGCCACCCTGGGACTCCGGAGAGGCGCCCGCACGGTGCCGCCCGCACCTTCCACGAAGAACTGGGCGCTGGTCTTCACGTCTCCAGCGTCGCAGGTGTACGTGTCCTCATCCTCGGGCTGCACCTCCTTGATGATTAGCTTCCGGTAGAGGCCGTCACTGACCATCTCGTACTTGGGCCCGGGCTGCAGTTCCACGCTGCCCTTGAACCACTGTACCTGCGCGCTGGCCCGAGACATCTGGCACTCCAGCACGCCGCGGTGCTTCTCCATGGCTATCTTGTCCCGCAACGGCCGCAGGATGGCCACCGGCAGCTCTGTGGGTGTGGCCGGTGTGGTTGGGGGCGCTCAGAGCCCCAAAACTCCACGCCCAAAGCGGTGCGGATGCTCTTCAGCCTCCAGCCAGCAGACTCCCACCATGCTCCGGCAGAGCAGCCCGTACTGGCCCAGTTCACTGTCCCCTGATGGCTATGCCGGGTGTCCCCATCGGGCTGCTCTGGGACCCCACACAGCTGCCTGGGAGGAAGCTGAGCACACCCACATCCGTGCCCCTGGCCCTTCACAAGCTCCTTCTGTGCACCCCTGCTGCCCACACATCCCTGCTTTGCCACATTTCCTCACACCTCCCCCCCTGCACGCCCCTGCATCAAGCAAATCCACGCCTCCTATGCCTTCCTGCCCCTCCCTTGCCACTGACTCTCTCTTCTTGATGCCCTCACTGTCACCAAGGCCACCAGCTAAGGGCTGACGCTCAATACCTGCTGGGGTACCACCTGCCCTTGCCACCTGCCAGGGGTGCCACCTGTCCCCGCCACCGGCTGGGGTGCCACTTGCTTCTGCCATCTGACACGGGTGTAAACCTGCCCTCACCACCTGCCAGGGGTGCCACCTGCCCCCGCCACCTGACGGGGTTGCCACCTGCGCCTGCCACCTGCCAGGGGTTGCCACCTGCCCCTGCCACCGGCTGGGGTGCCACCAGCCCCGCCACCTGCCAGGGGTGCCATCTGCCCTCACCACCTCTCCAGCACTTGCTCCAGTCCCAGGATTTACTGCTGCCTCCAATTTCGACAAGGAGACCCTGAGACCTCATACAAAAGGCTGCCTCTCCAAGACCAATCTCCTCCTTCTGGGTCACTGCTGTCCTCCTCCCAAGAAAGGCCTGGGTGCCCCAAGCCTGTTCTGTGGCAACAGACCTGTCAGCCCCTGGAAGGCCCAAAAGGTGTGTGTGCACCCACACATTGCCCAGCACAGACCCTCCCCTGGACTCCCTCACCTTTCACTTGGAGCTGTGCTCGTGATTCTGCATTTTCCGCGACAAATCTGATCTCCCCGGCATCTTCTGCCAGGACCCTCCGGAAGATGAGAGTGTATTTCCTTCCTGGAAACACAGGCCACTCAGTGCTGGGGGAAGGATGGCCTGGGGACTGGAGGAGGACGTGCCCTCCCGAAGCCTGCCCACCACCGCACCTTCCTGGCGGGTGCGCACGTTGTCACTGGGCCGAAGCTTAGTGCCCTCCCAGAACCACTGGGCCGGCACCTCGTCGAGCGAGACCTCACAGGAGAACGTGGCACCCTCCTTCTCCATCACCTCCACGTCCTCCAGGGGCCTCACGATCTGGACCTTGCGACCTGGGGTAACGAGCAGGGCCTTGTCACGCCTGGACACGCGAAGCTGCGCCTTCCCCCCTCCCGCCCGGACTGCTGGAGGGGACAGGGCAGGGTGAGCCAGGGGGCTGAGCCCCCCACTGGGGAATGTGGGGGGCCAGGAGGTTCTGACCCTCATTGGCCCACCTTGCACCTTCAGGGAGGCTGAGCTCTGAGCGTCGCGGGCGTCACACACGTACACGCCCTGGTCCCCGAGCTCACACCGGTAAATGACGAGACTCCGACAGGCACCCTGGGCCACCATGCCCACCGTCTTGCCCACCCGCAGCTCCACACCATCCTGAGGAGGGAAGAGGCCGGGTCAGGTGCGGGGACTCCCCGGCAGAGCCGTCCCGTGCCTGACAGGCCACCGAGAGAGGCAGAGGGCTCGGGCGAGAGGCAGCACCTTCAGCCAGCGCACGTCCACACTGGGGCGAGACAGCTCACACTCCAGGGTCACCCTGTCCTTCTCTGTGGCCACCATGTCCTGCAGGGGGCGGCTGAACCTCACAGGCAGCTCTAGGGCGGCAGGAGGGGAAGGGTGAGAGGCAGAGCCAAGAGGGGCCCGGGCGGGGCAGTGTCAGACAGCTGTTCTAGGAATGAGACCCAGGGCCCAGGATTCTGCCACCCCAGCCCACCCGCCTCCCCAGGCCACCTGGGGGACAGAGCAGGCTGCACCCCGCCACAGGTCGCGCCCAGGCCCACGCACCGGTTACCATGAGCCGCGCAGACGTGTGCACCCCCTCAGCTTTGAAGGCGACGAGGCCGCCATCCTGCGGCCGCAGGTCCAACAGCGTGAGCGTGTGGATGGGGCCACGCACGGCCAGCTGGCACGTGGGCCCTGGCTGCAGCCGCAGGCCATCCCGCGTCCAGCTGCCCTCCACGGCAGCATGGGACAGCTCCACCTCCATGCTGACGGTGCCCTGCTCGGACACCTCCACCGCCTGTAGGCCCCGCACGAGCTGGACCCGGCGCACTGAGCACACACGCAGGGGCAGGGGTGAGCCACTGCATGGACACCTTAGCCCGCAGGCCAGCCCCCACTCACCTCTCCACGGGGCCTCAGAGCCGAAGGCCCACCCCTTCCTTCCCGGCACCCCCCAGGGCCTGTCCCTGCAGGGGGACATCCATCCCCTCCCCCTCCCACCTCTTTCCTAGATGCCTGACTCCTGGGGCCCCGCCTGCTGCTGCTGCTCACTTTCCACGGTGAGCTTGGCCTGCGTCTTGTCGTCTGGAGTCTCGCACCCATAGAAGCCACGGTCGGCGAAACCCACACAGTGCAGAACCAAGCGGTGACTGGTGCTTTCCACGTGGATCTCCACGTTCTTGCCTGGCGCCAGGGCTGCTGCATTCCGTGTCCACTTGACATCGGGCCACGGCCGCGTCAGCTCCACCTCCATGGTCACTGAGCTCCGCTCTTCCACCGTCTGGGGTTCCAGCTTCTTTCTGAATAGCACCGGAGCCTCTGAGGTCACAAGCAAGGGAGGTCACCACAGTCACGACCACTCTTGGAAGAGCCAGAGCTTGAGGGCCCTTCCACCCCCTACCCCACCCCTCAATGGCACACCTGCTCCCCACCCTGACCTCACATTCCACCTCCAGGCTGGGCCCAGCTGAGCACCTGCATTGGCACAGTTCATGGGAGGAAGCCGGGCCCAGCTGGGCACCTATACACATACATTTACATGGGAGGAAGCCGGGCTCAGCTGTGCACCTGCACAGGCACAGTTACATAGGAGGAAGCCAGGCCCAGCTGTGCACCTGCAAGGTCACAGTTATGTGGGAGGAAGCCAGGCCGAGCTGTGCACCTGCACAAGCAGTTATGTGGGAAGAAGCTGGGCTCAGCTGTGCACCTGCACAAGCAGTTATGTGGGAGGAAGCTGGCCCCAGCTGTGCACCTGCACAGGCACAATTACATGGTAGGAAACCAGAACCAGCTGTGCACCTGCACACATACAGCTATGTGGGAGGAAGCCGGGCCCAGCTGTGCACCTGCACACATACAGTTACATGTGGGGAAGCCAAGCCCAGCTGTGCACCTGCACAGGCACAGTTACGTGGGAGGAAACCAGAATCAGCTGTGCACCTGCATATGTAGTTATGTGGAATGAAGCCAGGCTCAGCTGTGAACCTGCACACATACAGTTACATGGGAGGAAGCTGGGCCCAGCTGTGCACCTGCATGGGCACAGTTACATGGGAAGAAGCTGAGGCTCTGGGAGGCTGCTCCTTCCCCAACACGTGTCTCCTCTCCTGCTCCCCGGCTCCCAACAACCAGGCCGGACACAGTGCCCGGAACTACTGAATGTGGCCCATGACCACCAGCAGCAGGTCACAGGGAGTTGGTGCAACAGACTGAGCCCCAGACCTGCAGCACCAGCCGCTCCGCTCTAGGGAGACCCTGGACACTCCATGTTACGGAATGAAAAGCATGATGCAAGTACGCCTCCCAGTCCCAGGCTCTGCCGTGATCTTCCCAGAAGGTGTATATGTGCGTGTTACTCTTGCTCAGAACCTGCAACAGCTCCCCAGGAGAGGACCTGGCTCCAGCCAGTTAAGTTCATCCCCACCTCCAGCCTCTGCTTGCACTGGCTGCCAACTCCATTTCCATCCATGGGGCTCAGCTGAGGATGCCTCCTCCAGGAAGCCTCCCTGGACAGCGTCAACCTCTGCCTACTCCCCAACCAGATGCGCCTTGTGGCAGTTTACTGTGTCCCCTTCCGAGTAGGTACCCGGCCCCTGGGCACCGCCCATCCCCCCTCCCCCCCTTTATGAAGTATCCAGACCAGCTGTACCCAGGCTGGCAACGGAAGGCTGCAAGGGAATGAGCCCATGGAGAGGCCCTCCCTGAGGCCCCATCCACTCACCTCGCACCCGGAGAGCAGCTGAGGACTGGACACCCTCAGCCTCTGCAGTGATCTGGCCAGCGTCCTCCAGGGTCAGGCCAGAGATGGTCAGGCTGTGGCTAGAGCCACTTTGGGAGATGAGAAACTTCTGGCTGGGCTGCAGCAAGGCACCGTCCCGGAACCACGTGACTGCCGAGTCGCCCGGGGACACCACGCAATGGAAGGTGGCCTCTCCACCTTCCTCGGCCACCACCGCCCTCAACTCTGATGTGAACTTGACCGTGCGGGGGGCTGTGGACAGGGGTTTTCCTTGAGAGGCCCCACCCTGCAGTTGTGGATAAGGGTATCTCCACCAGGCAGCCGCCCAGGCACGCCCTGCCTGACTGCCCGCCCACCCGTGCGGCCCTCCACGGAGTACCGTTGACGGTGAGCTGAGCGCTGGTGCGGTCATTGCGGGTCTCGCACGTGTACTCCCCCGCATCCTCCAGCCGCAGGCCTGACACCGTGAGGGAGCGCCGGGCCCCCGTGGCTTCAATCTGGAAGCGCTTCCCAGCCCGGAGCTGTGTGCTCCCGCAGCGCCACACGACCTCGGCCTGGGGCGGGCTCAGCTCACACACCAGTGTCACCGTGCCCCCCAGCTCCCCGCTCACAGGCTCCAGGGGCTGGCAGAACTTGGTGGCCACCTCTGCAGGACAGGAAGGGGCATCAGATGTGGGACTTGAGCTGCCCTCCCTGGGGACGGCCGCTCCGGCCCCGCCCCCCGCACACACGGAGTTCCCAGAACACCACCCCCAGCCCTGCTGACCTTCCACCTGCACCGGGAAGTCCTGCCCTGCCGTGCCCACACGGCAGCTGTAGACTGCGCTGTCCAGGGTCTGGGCCCCGTGGACGGTCAGGGTGTGGGTGTCCCCCAGGCTGGCTGTTTCATGACGCTTGCTTCGGCGGATCTCCACACCATCCTTGAGCCACGTCACCGCGGCCACAGAGGGTGTGGCCAGAGTGGCCGTCAGGACAATGTCCTCATGCTCCCTGACCACCAGAGGCTCCCTGCGGCCGGGTCTCTCCAGGGCGGGGGACTCAGGCTCCGGCTCTGGGGGGAGGTCAGTGAGCATAAGAGCAGGGCTCTTGTGTTCCTGGCTTGGGCCCCATCGCCCCTAGCAGCGGGCCTAGGTCCATATTACAGAAGGGCATCGGGAAGCAGGCCCAGGAGGGGAGGCAGGAAAGGATAGCCTGGCCAGGCCCAGGTCAGGATGGGCATCCAAGCAAGGGCAAGCTCACAGGGCTGACCACAGCACAGCTGGACAATTAGGATCCCAAAACAAGAGCCCCTCCAGTGAAGCTCCACAGCTGCCCGGGGTGGATTAAACATGGGAAACGTGTGTGCTCATGTTTCCCTAGAACGTGACAGCCCTAGACAGAGAATGGTGCCTGCCACAGGCCACGGGCCTGAGGGGATTACAGGACACCAAGAAAGGCTCATGTCAGGTTTAGCTGGTTACAGTGGGATTCTGGAAGGAGGGGAGAGGTTTGGGGAAGCGGATGCCCAGAACAACCAAAAACAGGGACAGCAGTTCTCCAGTCCGAGCACCTGAGTGGTAGACAGAATCCAGGGCTGGGCCCATCACAGAAAACCCAACACAGGTGCAACACACAACTGTCTCCCTATCCAGTCCAAGAGGAGCTCCTTTCCTGACTTGTCAGGACGTTATTACCTTTACGGAACACTGGCACACACCTGTGACGTCCAGGCGGAAGGACACCTTCTGGCCCCCGGCCTCGCAGCTGTACTCCCCGGCGTCCGCCTTCCCCGCCTGCTGCACCACCAGCCGCCTGCTGCAGCCCTTGGCCTCCACGCGCACGTTGGAGCTCGCGCTCAGCTTCTTCCCGTCCTTGTACCACGTCACCTCTGTGTGGGCCTGGGCCACCTCACAGCTCAGGGTGGCACTGGCCCCCGCCTTGCAGAGCACCTCCCTGCGTGCTGGCTGCTCCTTGGCAAACACCACGGAGGGCTCTGGGGACAGAGAGGGACACACATGATTGAAGATATCAAGTCTGTTAGGAAGGCAGCACTGGGGTAAGAAGTACTGAACCAGGAAGCAGAGGGAATGGAAACTTCTCCTGTGTCAGCTGTGTCATCTGGAGAAGCCCTGTAGCCTTCTCAGCAACAAGTAACACAATTTATGTACCTATTCTGTAACTACTGTGTGAGGGCTTGTTCAGGTGGGGACCATACATTCTACCACTGGTCCTCACGGACTGTCCCAGTTCTATGTTGCCTGAAGGAGTGAAGACCCTAAATTCTCCCTTTCCTCAATGTGGACTGTTCCAGGGGGTCCCTAACTCTACCACATCTCCTATGGGCTGTTCCAGGTGGGGACCACACGTTCTATCACTGCTCCATGTTGGCTGTCCCAGGTGGGGACCACACACTCTATTACCACTCCACGTGGGCTGTCCCAGGTAGGAACCACACATTCTATCACTGCTCCACGTGGGCTGTCCCAGGTGGGTATTATCCCTGGAACACCAGTCATGGTTCATAGGAATTAGCAAACCTTTCCATGTACACCTTCCTATCCAATTGCTCTTGGCTCAGCCACATGTATGAGAATTGGAGGCCAAAGGAGGGACATGTGAAAAGTTAAGTCCAATGGAAAGAGCTCCAGAGTCTATCTGGACTCTATGCTTATCCCACCATCACCCTTGATCAAGGCTAGAGTTTAACCAAAAGAACTGACCTGTGACATCCAGGCGGAAGGACACCTTCTGGCCCCCGGCCTCGCAGCTGTACTCCCCGGCATCCACCTTCCCTGCCTGCTGCACCACCAGCCGCCTGCTGCAGCCCTTGGCCTCCACGTGCACGTTGGAGCTCGCACTCAGCTTCTTCCCGTCCTTGTACCACGTCACCTCTGTCTTGTCCTGGGCCACCTCACAGCTCAGGGTGGCACTGGCCCGCACATTGGCCTGCACCTCCCTGAATGCTGGCTGGTCCTTGGCAAACACTAATGCAGGTTCTGGAGACAGAGAGGGACAATCAAATATCTAGACCTGAATGAAGGCCCACCCTCTGGATCTCAAAACCAGGAAGGCTTGGCCACAAGCCCACCCTGTTCCTGGCTCCCTCTACACAGAAAAACCCACACTCAGAAAACACATAAAGCAAGAACAGGTTAGTTTTCATAATCTGAAGACTCCAGGTCAAATAATTTCCAGGTAGGTATGTGTTATGATTCAGGATTTGGCATTTAACATCTGTGATCCCATAATTATCCTAACAAATGGAGGCATACCTGCACATCAAACCACAGGTATTTTCAGGGAGAATTTCTTGTGCACTGTCACCAACAATGGGTGACATCCAAGTCACAAGAACACAGACACAATGACTCCTAGTGCAGTCTGTCACTTCTAGTAATCCAGCTGCCATCCGTATAATGAAACCCCTGGCTTGGGGACTGGACATGGTTTTTATTAGCTTACTTCTCTGGATCATATTACATTCTTCCTTTTGACATATATCCATCAACAATTTTTTTCCAGCAGGGTTTTGTGAATGGTAAGTTCTCTCCATTTACCTCCTGAAAACATCTTTATTTCACTCAAACTTTTGAATGATAGTTTAGCTGGATACAGAATTCTGGTTGACAGTCATATTCCCCTAGTACATTGGAGATGATGCCTTCTTTGTGCTCTTCATTGCTGTGGACAAATCTGTGGAAGGATTACTGTCTTCCCATTCATCTTTACTCTTCTGTGGTTCACTGTGACGTGTCTAGCTGTGGATTTATTTTTCCTACACTTCCCATGATCTCTTGGGAGTCCTGAAGCTTAGGATTCACATCTTCAACCCCTACTAAAATTTCTCTGTGTGATTTCCGTCATAATTTTTTCTTCTTATTCTCTCCAGCCTCTCCTAGAAATCCTTTGGACACACCTGTGGCCTACAGCTTCTCTTCTCTACCTCTGCCCTTCTCTCTAATTTTTTTTAATCTCTGTGTTTCCCTCTGAATAACTTCCTCAAATCTATCTTTCAGTTCAGTGATTTTGTCTTCAGCTATGTCTAATTTGCTATTTATCACTCCATTAAATTGTTCATTATAAATGTGTTTCCCATTCATGAAGCTTCATTTGCTTCTTCTTTGAATCTGCCTGTTCTTCTGCTTCCTACTTAACTTTTTTCTTACTTTATCAAATCTCTCGTATTACTCATTTTAAGTATGCTGTTACATCATCTGAGGTCCCTGGGTGGTCTAGCCCTCATCTTTTCCCTTCTATATAGGATTATTCCTCCAGTGTTTAGATGTACTTTACTGTGAATCTGACATGGTTTCCTCAGCCAGTGGTATTATTAAGTGTGGCTTTGGCGGTGGGGTAATCCTCCTGATATTCACTGTTGCCAGGCACTCCAGGAGTGCCACTGGCCTGGAGCCCCACTGGTAGGTTAACTTCTCAGTCTGGGGTCCTTAGCATTATAAGTTGAAATCTCATTCCCAAGTGAAAAATAGGCTTCCATTTCTTAGGGGAGATTTTCCCATCTAAGCCGAAGCAGAAATACAAGTGCCCTGTGACCTCCCTGGGCTGCAGAAGATTGCTTTTCTGGTCCATCTTTTCTTTAATGATGTGGTTCTAGAAGGTTTCCATCACTGTATGCTGATCTCCGTCTCACTTCCTATTTGTTCTCATGCGTATTGGCAAGCTGGTGGTGTAAGTCAGACCCAAAAGCCCCCCACAGTAGCAACAGTGAACCAAGTCATCATCCACTGCTTTCATTTCTCAGTGCCTCCTCTTTTCTAGCACCTGGAAATGTCCCTCTTTCTCCTTTCCAGTCCAGATATTAACTTAACCTGACTTTGTTACATTCAGCCCCACAGTTTCAGATGTCCACAGTGGGAGAGTTTTCACACTAGAGAAGTCCAGATGGGGTGCTTTTAACTTTAACTTTCCAATCTCATCTACTAGGGACTTTTTGCTTCAGGAACTCCTCTCTAACCTTCCAATAGTCAATGGAAATCTTGGCTTTTGGCCATCAGAGCATAGGTATTTTCAGGGAGAATTTCAGGGAGAATATATATATATATATATTTATATATTTATATATTTATATATATATGAATTCTATATATTATATATATATAATCTAAATAAAATAGAATAAATAAAATCTAAATAAAATCAATAAAATAAAATCTAAATAAAATCTAAACCATATATATATGATTTAGATTTTATTTTTTGCCTTCATCTTTTAAATTTAAATTTAATTAACATATAATGTATTATTAATTTCTGAGGTCAGTGATTTATCAGTCTTATATAATACCCAGTGTTCATTATATCATGTGCCCTCCTTAATGTCCATCATCTAGTTACCCTACTTTCCCACCCACCTCCCCTTCAGCAACCCTCAGTGTGCTTCCTATGATTAAAAGTCTCCCTCTTATGGTTTATCTCCCTTTCTGATTTCATCTTCTTTTAAATTTTCCTCTATTCCCCTATGATCCTCTGTTTTGTTCCTTAAATTCCTCATATAAGTGAGATCATATGACAGCTGTCTTTCCCTGACTGACTTATTTCGCTTAGCATAATACCCTCTAGTACCATCCACGTCATTGCAAATGGCAAGATTTCATTTTCTGATGCCTGCATAATATTCCATATATACCACATCTTCTTTATCCATTCATCTGTTGATGGACATCTAGGCTCTTTCCATAGTTTGGCTAGTGTGAACATTGCTGCTATAAACATTCGGGTGCACATGCCCCTTCGTATCACTACATTTGTATCTCTGGGGTAAATATGCAGTAGTGCAATTGCTGAGTTTGTAGGGTAGCTCTATTTTCAACTTTTTAAGGAACCTCCATGCTGTTTCCCAGAGTGGCTGTACCAGCTTGCATTTCAAAGATAATTCTTTATGAGATATCACCAAGAATGGGCAATATCCTTGAGTTATAAGACTTTTGATTGGATTTTTAATATTTTTAAAAGGCACAAACCCAAAGTATAGATGGTTCTATTTTTATGTCTTAAATGTAGTTTTCATGGAGAAAAAAGATAAAACATCCAGCTGGCTGACTTTCCCCTGGAGCAGGTGGCTGGATGGAAGACAGTGGTCTTCAACATTCAGTGCAGTGGCTGGTCAGGGCTGCAGTCAGCCTCTATGTCACTGGATTCTCTCCCCACCCCTCTGGGCCTCTCCTTATATGGTCCCAGCTCTCCCAGGATCCCAGGGGTAGGTCCCATTATCATCCACTCCCTCCACGGTACTTCTTTTCCCAGTCCCTCCCACCACCAACATGCCAACAAACACTGAGTCTCCCTTACCAGACCAGCATCAACTGAGTACCATGCCCAGACAGCCAACCACCCCCTGGACATCCCAGGCTAGCTCATCACCTACTTCTCCCAGCAAATCTGCTCATGTCCACCTGCCATGTCTCAGATGGTGGCCCCTCAGTCTATGTGTTCACCCAAGCTTGTAGGACTCACCAATATCACTGTTTCTCAGCCCACACCCACATAAGTACCACTTCATACACTCCTACACCCTCTCCATCCCTTCAGCCACCACCTCTGTTTGACCCGGACACCTCCAGAAGCAAAATCTCTGCAGGAAAATGTCTCCGGGGGCCACAGGGGTTCAGTGGAATCCACATGCTTCCTGTGGATGTGATGCCCATCTGAGCTCCTGCCACATCTGCCCTCCCAGCCATCAACACTTCTGGAATCATTTTTACAGCCACTGGGACTACTACCAGAATTCTGAGAATGGATGAGTCCTCACAAATGCTACCATGTGAAGGCAGAGAGCACCTAACCACACAGGTGACTGTCACCCTCAGCCGTGGCCAATGGGTACACACCTTTCAGACTGTACAGTGAGGCATCTGCCACTCGTTTTGTGGCCCCAGACTCAGCTGCATCCTCAAGTTAGGGCCACACCAGGTCTCTGTTATTTCTGAGGCTCACTCCATAGGAATCCTCCCAGACTAACTGTGAAGGAAACTGTGTCTTCGATAAGCATGGCACAAAATCATTCCTGATCACGCTGTGTGTGTATGCATCTATGTATATATGTCTATGTGTATATATGTGGGGATTATTATGTATGGTTGTGTGTGCACGAGTCTATGCATATTAATGCATGTGTTGTTGAGAGTGTATGTGTTTAAGTGTGCATGCACATATGTTTGTGGGTATGTGTGTCTGTGAGTGTGTGTGTTGAAATGTGCATCCAGGAGGAGTCAAGATGGCGGAGAAGTAGTGGCTGAGACTACTTCAGGTAGCAGGAGATCAGCTAGATAGCTTGTCTAAAGATTGCAAATACCTACAAGTCCAACGGGAGATCAAAGAGAAGAAGAACAGCAATTCTAGAAACAGAAAATCAACCACTTTCTGAAAGGTAGGACTGGCGGAGAAGTGAATCCAAAGTGACGGGAAGATAGATCCTGGGGGGAGGGGCAGGTTCCCGGCAAGCGGCGGAGCCACGGAGCACAAAATCGGGACTTTTAAAAGTCTGTTCCGCTGAGGGACATCGCTCCAGAGGCTTAACCGGGGTGAAGCCCACGCGGGGTCAGCGTGGCCTCAGGTCCCGCAGGGTCACAGAAGGATCGGGGGTGTCTGAATGTCGCAGAGCTCGCAGGTATTAGAACGGAGAGGCCGGCTACAGAGACGGAGCCGAGGAGTGAGCTCACAGCTCGGGGTTACCTTGAACCGGTCGCAGGCTCGGTCAGCTCGGAGCGCGGCCGGAGGCCAGGCAGACGGGAGCAATTGGGCGCTGTTCTCTGAGGGCGCACTGAGGAGTGGGGCCCCGGACTCCCGGCTCCTCCGGGCCGGACACTGGGCGGCCGCTATCTTCATTCCCGTCCTCCGGACTCTACGGAAAGCGCTCAGGGAACAAAAGCTCCCGAAAGCAAACCCGAGCGGATTACTCAGCCCGGCCCCTGGTAAGGGCATTGTACCTCCGCCTGGGGCAAAGACACTTGAGAATCACCACAGCAGGCCCCTCCCCCAG